GTACGTTTATCTACTGGTAGGTACAACTTTTCGGGAAATAGGTACAATATGCAAATTTAATATTCATCAATAGTGCGAAAAACACTAATGTGACGTCAGCGAAAAGGTGGGTACTGTCTAAAGCATCTAGTACCGGGATTCGGGTCCCGAACACAGCCTGCGTGTGGTTGTTTTGGGTTTTCTTTATTAGAAATTAATTGAAAAAATCCCTTTAGAAGAAAAGCTGTCTAAAATTGGGGGGGCAAGTGAGTTTAATTTCAGACCAATTAATTAATTCAAAATATTCATTTGCTTCAAAATTTAGTTTAGAAACCAAGAAGTTTTCTAATATTTTTGCCTTTTGAAGGAATTTGTTTTGTTTTCAGAACTCGCCTCAATTCCAGCTCTGGGATATGCTCTCTGTCATCCACTACCAATCTTACCTTATCTGAGATATCTTTCACCATACCAGACACGACTAACGCAGACTCCAATACATTCAAATATTTCACCAATACACTCAAAGCCACATATCAATATTTACCCACGTACAGGAGACATATGTTACAAATAACATATCTACAACACGATATCCTGTTAGATTTTTCATGTCGCCTTTAGGAAATTAACGTAAACATTCTATGGGAGTATAACATGCATTTACGTTACAAATACGCGTTACTTAACACGTTATATAACACGTAGTGTTCTTGTAGGGGAACGTATAGAAATTTGATTTCTAATGGTGGTATCTTCCTAACATGAGGGCATGTGCAATTGACAGTTACTGGACTGGGGCAAATATACTTTTCAAAGCTTTTTTGGCAAAAGCAATGCAGTGTCATCCCGTACTTAGGTAGGTAGGTTGTCGCGGTCGTCTATAAGACACACTTAGGCTCAGGGCCCATTGTGATGCCGCATGTTGGGTCAGCAACTCCCGATCCCTCCTAAAACCATTTTGAACTTTGAACGAATTTTAGAAGATCCCTGATTTCGACGCATCTAAGGTCCTCCAAGTTGTCGAAGAATTGCCTACCGAGAGTGGAGAGTCTTCGTCTAGATAGAGCAGGGCATTGGCACAACAGGTGGAGAATCGTTTCCTCCTCTTCTTCATCTTGACAACTTCTACAGAAGTCATGTGAGCGTAGGCCAAGTCGATAGGCGTGCTTGCCAATTAGGCAGTGTCCTGTTATGACGGATACTAATAATCTAATATCACCATCCTCCTTGATGAGATAGCTAATATTGCTGGGACTCATAGATAGTATTTTGCGCAGTCTGCTGGCCTCCGAAGTACTTTCTATCTTCTGACAGAAGTTCCTCCATGAGGAGCGCTTATCGTCTCTTATTGCATAC